TGTCTATATTTATTTTTCTTTAATGAAAGTACCAAGAATATTTAACAGAGAAAGACTGTCTTTTAACAAGTGGTGACTGGAAAACAGGATATCCACACATAGAAAAACAAAATTCTTACTTCGCACCATATACAACAGTTAATTCAAGATGGGTAAAAAACTTAAACAAAAGATTTAAAACTGTAAAAATACTAGAAGAAACCTTGGGAGAAAGCTTTCTGACATTGGCATGAGCAATAACTTTTTGGAGAAGACCCAAAAAGTAAAGGGAATGAAAGTAAATAGATAAATGGAATTACATCTAACTATAAGTATCTATCTATCTATATATATATATATATATATATAGAGAGAGAGAGAGAGAGAGAGAGAAATAAATATGAATGACACAGTTTCACAGCTGATTAATAGGACAGTTTTGATAGTCAATACACTGTACATTGTTATCTTCTTAGTAGTTATCCATAGCACAAGAAGCAGACAGGATATCCTGTCCAAACACTGTTAGTACACCTCTTTCTTCTCATTGAGTTAAGCAAAAGTAGCTGTAAATTTATCTTAACTATTTTGTATATATAAATACAAAATGATCTTTCCTTTGTATCTTTTTAATTTTTTTTTTTTTTTTTTGGTCCTGTCAGAGGTGAATATTCTATTGGCATTCCATGTCTATATTTTGCTCCATCTATGTCTAGTTATTTTTTACTTGTTGCTGGGAAAAAATACCTGACACCCAAATTTAAGGAAGAAAAGGTATATTTTGCTAAGTTTGTGGAGGTTTTATTCTACACTCAGCTGGCTCCCAGGCAGAGTGGCACATATCAGAGAGCAGCAGTTTATGACAGCAGCAAACAGTGAAGAGCAAAGTGAAAGGCAGCAGCTGCATCTTCTAGCAACCTTCTCTCCCCTCCTTATATTTTAAACAAGTTACCCTGGAGCTGGGGGTATAGAACTTACACAATGTCCATGCCCTCCTCGGTGCACACAATGAGGATGTTTACAAACTAAGAATCCTGGCTCTCTACTGAGTCACTTAATCAAACTTCTAAACTTCTCAAGTTGACACAATGTATCAAATAGTACAATCTAGAAGTGTCTTATTTCAGATTGACTGGCATCAGAGTTTAAATCCTTCCCTTTTTTCCAATTATCTACTTTTTAGTTGATTTTCTCTGAATAGCTCCAATATAGCTTGTCCTCTATTCAGGCACAATGAATCTTTCCACTATCTAATGTGTTATCTTTAGTCATATAAATTTTTTAGCAGTTATTTAGTCAAATGTACCAATGTTTTTCCTTTATGGTACTCAGGTTGTATAAGTTTCCTGAGGTTTACGTGATATTACCAAGTAATGAAAAATACAAAATAATGAATTGCAGAAGATATTATCTACTGTCTGCAACTGTTTTGTGAATGAGAAGCCAGACAATGCTCTAGATTAAATGTGAAAATAAGAAAAAGAAAAATCTACAGAAGGTGTAGATGACTAACAACATAACAACTACTGGTGCACAATATTTTAGGCAGTAAGAGTTAAAAGACAAGACATACCTCCTACTCTAGAAATTTACAATTTAAATAGAAGTAAAAATATTTCAAGGAGCAAAGACACAAGAAAAACTAGCTATACTTCAAACCAATGAAGTGCATGGAACTGAGAGCACAACAGGAAAGACAATTCTGATAGATCTCACACATGCAATGGACTGCAACTCATAACTCCAAAAAAAATTTTAAGCTTTCATTGAAGAGTATGCAGCTAACAAAAGTACATCTATCAAAATTATACAACTTTATGAAATTTTGAAAAAAAAGTTTAAAAAATTTCTTTGTATAACTAGTTCTAACTTAAAGAAAATGACCCTGACCAAGAGCCCCTCTTACTTCCCTGTAGTCATACTCCAAAACCTTAGACAATTTATACCATTTTGGGGGGGTGGTGTGGAAATGAGATATTACGTAGTTCAGATCGGCCTTGCACCAATATATAGCCCAAGCTGGCCCTAGCCATCCAGTGATACTTCAGCTTCCCCAGTAGCTAGTATTACAAGTGGGTGCCACAATGGCTAGCTTTAACTATTTTGTACTGTAATTAGAATATACTGTACACTTCTCTCAAAACATGTTTGTGACATTTATCTAACTACATATATCTTTTATTCTCATTACTGCATTATATTCCATTGTATGAATATGCTAGCTTAATATTTATTACATCAATGATGGATTTTTGTACAGCTCCTATTTCTCTCCCGAAAAAATACAGCTATGATCATTCTAATCTCTTTCTTTGGGTAAAGACATTTTCATTTCCGTTGAGAATATACTAGGAGTAGAACTACACATTTACAATGTTCATTTAATAAACGCTGCTAAGTAAGTTTTTCCAGTTTGTTATGTTTTTGACAATATTTATCTTCCATGTTTTCATTTTTAGCCATTCTGGTAGGTAGTAGGTAATAAATAACTATGGATAATGTGAAACTTAAGATAGCATAGACAATAACACTCCTAAAACAGAGAATTAAATAATGAGATAAAGGCTTTAAAAAGAACATATTGGTATTAAAATCCACTTCATTAATAAAATAACAAAGTGAAATAAAAACATTAAAGAACAGACCAAACACCAGCTTAATCATGGAGCCATCAAACAGTCCTTTAAAGTGGAAGAACATGTTAAGAAAAAAAAAAGGCAAAGCAGAAAGCAAGGCAAATAAATAATATTCTGGTATATATTCTCTCACTAAAATGTTATGGTCTATACTTTTTATGGAGACCACCATTATTTTATATCAGGAGAATAAACAGTAACATCTTATCAAAATAATATTAAAGTATATTTTAGCAAAAACTTTTCTGTGTGGTTAAGTATGAAAACTGACTATCTGTAAAACACTTAAGAAACTGCAGTATTTTATTTGATCACAGTTTGTATTTTTAGGGAAAAAAACAACAAAACTAAAAAGCAGAACCTAGCATTTAAAGTTTAAAAAAGAAATCCAGACTGTCACATAAAACCAATAAAGTAACCGACCAAAAGGGACAACCCTAAACTATCTATTTTGTAAGTGACTAGAAGTATCACCTGGCTTCAGATATAAGTTTTTGGACATGGACAGTCATATCTTACGTTATACCACAAAAATTTTCCCCAGGTTTATCTGAGTACCCTTAGAAAAAATTCAATACATCCTACCCATCCTTATGTCAGAATCTAAAACTACTGATCAAATTACAATATATGCTTCTTTATGTAGCTGACAGAAAATTACTGGTTATATATCAAATTCTTTTAGAAGTAGCTTGAAGTGCTTAATCACTTAACAGGAATTTTACAATTGTATAGTTTTTAAACATCACACACAAAAACTGTAAGATTTTAAGAACAAAGTAGAGGGCCGGGAGGCTGGGGAGATAGCT